GTAGAGGTCAGACGAAGCGTGATCTACCGGCCCTCCAGGTTTCGGAGGTTCAGCTCAGGGCTAACAACCCAGATTGGTAAAAAAAGCATATGTTACGGAAATAGCAACAAAGAGAAACCATATTTCTGTTTGTGATGGACCTTCAGAGTCGCTTGGGGCTCGTATGAATGCTGGCAGTGAAAGCCGCAAGGAAGCTGTTTGCAGGAAGATGGAGGTCCTGAACACCGCAGGGACAAAAGTTATCACAGGACTGTGGAATGTAAGGACAATGTATGAAACTGGTAAGTTGGCACAAGTAACAGCAGAGATGAGGAGATATGGGTTGCACGTTCTGGGCATAAGTGAAAGTCACTGGACAGGATCCGGCAGGCTGAGAACAGCAACTGGAGAAACACTGATCTATTCCGGCAGAGAAGACAACCAACATAGGAAAAGAGTAGCTATCATCCTAAAAAAGGGACTTGAGAAATGCCTCAACAGAGGAATACTGACACTGAGTCTGAAGTTAAAGCACACCACACAAGCATCAGCCAATGTTACGCCCCTACTAACGACAGTGAAGATGAAAACAAGGACTATTTTTATGAACAGCTACAGAGAGAATTGACAGGTATACCTCGTCACGACCTTATCGTTGTAATGGGCGATCTGAATGCTAAAGTAGGAGAGGACAACACCAACTATGAGAGAACGATGGGACAACATGGTACAGGTACAAGAAATGAGAACGGTGAAAGACTAGTGGACTTCTGCGCATTGAACAACTTGGTGATAGGCGGAACCCTCTTCCCACACCGTACAATCCACAAACTGACCTGGAATTCTCCAAATTGCCGGTACAAGAACCAGATTGACCACCTTATGATAGGAGGAATGTGGAGACGTTCCCTACAGGATGTGAAAATCAGAAGGGGAGCAGATGTCGGCAGTGATCACCATCTAGTGACGGCAAGGATAAAATTCAGGCTGAAAAAAAACATTCACCAGGGAGGCGACAAGGACACGATTTAATGTTCACAAGCTCAGTGATGGCAATGTGAGATCTGCCTTCCGACTAAAACTAAAGAACCGATTTCAAGCTCTCCAAGACCTGGAAGAAACCACCCCCAATACAGATGAAGTCAATACCAATGGAAGCATGTTGTTAAGGCCTACACAGAGAGCAGTAAGACATGTCTTGGTTTCAAGAAAAAAAATGCAAGCAAAGAATGGACACAGCAAAGAACTTGAAATACTATTGAAGAACGGAGAGAAATCAAGAAAAGACAGTTTGCAGTCAAGTCGATACGACTACAAGAGAAGTACGCAGAGGATTACAAGGAAGCTTGCCAGAAAGTTAAAAGACTGGTCAGGATGAACAAAAGAGAAGCCATGGAAGAGTTGGGAACTGATGCAAAGGAGGCAGCTGCTAAAGGTGAACAAGGCAACGTATACAAGATCACAAGAATAATATGTAGCAAGTTCCACGGTGGAATGAGTGGACCAATCAAAGACAAGGCTGGCAAGCTGCTGACAATTGAGAAGGAACAAGAAGCACGCCACCATTCTTTAGCCAGTATTCAAAACCATATGGGAGGGAGAGCAGATTCCCAAGGACTGGAGCACTGGAGTCATTGTTAAAGTACCAAAGAAAGGAGCTCTTAGAGACTGCAACAACTGGAGAGGTATCACGTTGCTGTCAGTTCCAAGCAAAATCCTGGCCAAGATTGTTATTAACCAGATGTCGGATGCCGTGGACAACTGCTAAAGTAAAGAACAGGCAGGATTCTGCAAAGAAAGAAGATGTACAGATCAAATATTTGCCCTCCGCAACATAATAGAACAGTGCACGGAATGGCAAAGACAACTTTAAGTCAACTTCGTTGATTTTGAAAAAGCATTCGACAGTGTGCATAGAGAAAGTCTTTGGTACATTCTACGATCTTATGGAATCCCTTGCAAGATAGTAGAGGTCATCAAGAGCTTCTACCAAAACTTCAAGTGCGTTGTTGGAAACAGTACCACTGCTTTTGAGGTAAGACAGGAGTTAGACAAGATGCAACATATCAGCAATTCTGTTCAACTTGGCCATTGACTGGGTCAAGAGGAAAACAACAGAGGATACATCAAGAGGCATAAGGTGGACCCTCTTCTCCACCCTCGAGGATCTTGACTTTGCAAAGTAGTGTAACTCTCCCATACCAACCAGCACACGCATGAAAAAACAAACCGACTCCACAAATGCGGACGCCAGATTGGGTTAAGAATAAGCCAGAAGAAGACAGAAGTGATGACACGCTGATTAGGGAGAACAACACAGACTTCCCTATAACAGACACATTAACCTACCTAGGCAGCATAATCAAAACTGACGGCAGCACAAAGGAAGACATTATGAACACACTCGGCAAGGCAAGATCTGTACACAGAAGCATGATCAACATCTGAAAGTCAAGACAGTTTAGTATACATACCAAGTTAAAGCTGTATAACAGCTGTGTACTATCCACACTCCTATATGGAGCTGAATGCTGGAGGATGGCTGATCATGACCGTGCCAAGCTATCTTCCTTTCATACAACCAGCTTACGCCAAATCCTCAGAATCTTCTGATCCGACAAGATTTCCAACGCAGATCTGTTACATAAATGTAGACAAGAGGACATGACCACCATA